CCAAAAAATTGGAAGATTTGAACCAAAAATGAAGGCAAGGCCCCCCCCCCCCTACATCAAATGTGCCAACTCCACCATCCCCTTTCTCCAAACGTTTAGCTCTTAGGTTTCTGTTACACTTGCATTGATTTTCAATAAGTCTCTTCAAGCTGGTGAAGTTCCAGTTGATTGGAGGTGTGGCAACATTACTCCAATATTTAAAAAGGGCTTAAAATCTAATCCAGGAAATTACAGGCCAGTATCCTTGGCAACAATCACATGAAAGCTTTTGGAGTCAAACATTACAGATTAAGTATCCCAACACTTACATGATAATTGTTACAGCTAACGGAATGGATTCATGAAAAAAAGATCTTGCCTTACTAATCTGCTAGAGTTTTTTGAGAGGGTCACCAAGAAATTTAAAGCAAGAAACGACATGGATATTGTATATTTAAATTTGGGAAAGCTTTTGATAAAACTTTGAGAACTGAACTCATAAATAAACTGAAATCCTATGGAATCCAAGGTGACATCTTGAATTGGATATGTAGTTGGCTTACAAATAGAAAGCAACAAGTTGTTTTAAATGACGAATTTTTAGAAAGGGAGTGTACTAGAACCTCATTTTCTTTACAAAGGACATTTATATTAGTGCCTTGAAAATAAGTATTCACAGATAATACCAAGCAGGGTCAAGCTATGAACACAGACGCTGACAAGAAGTAGTCCCAAACTGCTTGAGCTCACTCTGCACTTGGCAGATAATGGGAGAATGAAATTCAATGAGTTGAAATGCAAAATTCTCCATATTGGTAAAAAAATCCCAGGTCATAAGTGTTTTATGAATGGTGTCAAACTAACTGAATCAGATGAACAGAAAAATCTTGGTGTTTTCAATTAATCCTTAAAACTAGCAAGCCAATGCTCTGAAGCTGCCAGAAAGGCGAAAATATCATCCTAGGTTCCATCTCCCTATCAGAGATCATTATGTTTTTGTAAGTCTCTACAAAACCTATGCGTGACCCCACTTAGAATTTTTTTACAGCAGCTTGGTCACCTTAGAGAGAGACTGACTCAAATTGTTAAGAAATTGTTCAGAAAAGAGCTGTTCGAATAATATCAGGACTTCCTGGAAAATAATATGAGGAGAAGCTGAATGAGCTGAATTAGCTTTCACTTGAAGAAAGAGATGAGGGGGCCGACATGATTTAGGCATTTATGGGTTTAGTGATGTCAACCCTGCAGCCTGGTTTAGAAAGATCAACTAAAACAGAATGACAAGAATGGCTAATGACCTGTTGAACGTGGAAATACAAAACTACAGAACCAGTATCAGGGACAATCTCTTCACCTTACAAGAAAATGGAACTCTATCCCTTAAAAGTAAAACAGTCAACTACTGTAAATATCTTCAAATGAAACTATAATAGATTCAGACAGCATCCGTGAGATGCTGATGCATGATTACCAGTCTCAAAGTCTATCAGAACCATATTCAACAAGTCTTCTAAGTCATCCTTGTTTTAACTCTACATAGGTTCCTGAGATTATTCAACAATAAACAATAAACAATAAACAATAAACAATAAACAATACTAACAGTACACTTCATGTCTTATTGTATACAACTGAACATGTGTATACCTGAAGAAGAGCTCTACTGACTTACAGTTTACGACAAGGGTTCTTGTGTACAATTGTACATGTGTATACATGAAGAAGAGCTTTACTAACTAATGGTACACTTCAAGGCTTATTAGTACAACTGTACATCTGTAAACCTGAAGAAGATTGCTAGTAACTAAAAGTACAATACAAGGGTCCTTGTATGCAAATGTACATGTGTAAAACAAGAACAGAGTTCTAATAACTAACAGTACACTACAAAGTTCCTTGTATGCAAATGTACATGTGTAAACCAAGAACAGAGTTCTAATAACTAACAGTACACTACAAGGTTCCTTTTGTACAACTGTACATGTGTATACCTGAAGAAGAGCTTTACTAACTAATGGTACACTTCAAGGCTTATTAGTACAACTGTACATGTGTATACCTGAAGAAGAGGGCTACTAACTAAAAGTACAATACAAGGGTCCTTGTATGCAAATGTACTTGTGTAAACCAAGAACAGATTTCTTCTAACTAACAGTACACTACAAGGTTCCTTTTGTACAACTGTACATTTGTATACCTGGAGAAGAGCTCTACTAACTAACAGTACACTATCCATGGAAGAATGCCGCGCTCTGAACTCAATATCTCGGATAAGATGCATCCCTACACCCTAAAAAAAAATCACAGTAAAAAAAAAACTATATTTGTCCGTTTATTTGCTTTGTAAAAAAATCAAAATATTATCATTATCTGTTAGGAACCAAGATTCCTAAATTTGCTTTGATTTCTTCAAAATTAAGAAGGGGAAAAAAAAAATAGAAAATGCCTACTGAATGTTTATCAGCAAAGTGAATAAAAGTTAAGATAATAAACTCAAGAGTAAAATACTTACAAAACACTGGTTAAAGATTGCCCAGTGCCCGATCTGTAATATTTCTAGAAGAAGTGCTGACGAGAGATGAAGACGATTTGGCAAAACACGCGGTGACCGCATACCTAATAAATATCGCAAATGTTAAAAACGCCATGAATGACCTACGATTTGGTAGAGGGAAAGTTTAGTTTGTGTCCGGTAAAAACTGGAAAATTAATTTGTGTAAATTTTGTCAATTTATGTTTTTCTTAGCAACCATTATGTTCGAGTATAAAACCTTTTCCAACACATTGTCTAAGATCAAAAAGAACAAATTAAAACTCACAAAAAAAGGATGGTTTTGTTTAAAATTATAAGTACAGCAATAGATTGCCATCCGACATCAATACAGAAAAAACTTTTCTGCCTTTAAAATTAGACTAAAAACTAAATATTTAATATAATAATTATATAGTTTTATCTAATTAACTAGCTGTGATATGCACTATGATCATATTTTTCGTAAATATGTTTGTGAGACATAGTTGTTTATCTAATTAACTGTACTTAAGTCATATTTTTTTGGTAAATATTTTTGTGATACATTGTTATAAATCTAATTAACTGCACTGTGATCATATTTTTCATTATGGTCTGTTGTGATCCAAATGACATGAAAATAAATTAACTGACTGAAAACATAACTTCAAGTGATTGTTCATGCAAAGATGACAATGTCAGACACAAATAGGTACCCCTGAAACCTTTGTTTGTTTAAAGGGACTGTAAAAGAAAAATGATATAGGGTATATGCTGAAACTTAAGCATTTTAGGAGTTGATGGAGATCTTTAAGAGTTCTATCTGCTGTTCCTGTCATGAGAAACTGATGTAAAACTGTGTCAAAATGATGCTAAAACTCATGAATGTGAGATTTAGGTAAAGTTTTAAACAAATCATATTCAGCAAATACTCAACCAATCTGAAAACGACAATATCCCAAAGGAACCTGAAAAATTCAGGTTGGCTCCCTTTCTAATGTGAATCTAATAATTTTCCATTTTTAATGGATATAATTGATACGACTGTATCACGTCACCAGAACTTCAATCAATGGCAGTGCAGTATCATTGTCACATTTTTCGATCTGTATCACGTGACAATGATACTGCACTGCCAGAGACAGAAACATCAGATAGAACTTATATGTCTTGATCAACTCTTAAAATACTCAGGTTTTAGCCTATACCCCTTTTATTTTTCCTTTACAGTCCCTTTAATAATTTATTATTTAGTGTAAAGTGCTGAAAGGGGGGGGGGCACAAAAAGTATTACTCTTTGGAAAATTTAAACAGAATTCATATTGACTGCAGAAATGAATTCCTATAAATTAACATACAACATGCAAATCTTTGCTAAGTTGGCCCATAAGGTAACAGCTGGCAACTAACGTGCCCATCAGAATGCTCCAATATTTAATTGAAATGAATTTCTTGTGCCCAATTACCTGTAAAAAGACATACAACTCGAAAAGTATGTGGTTAGATGACCCGAAACGTAATTGCTGGCTGCTATTGCGCCAAGCAATGTGCTCGGATTTTTGTAAAACTGAATTTTCCAGTAACAATTCATAATTTTGAGCTCACATTAAAAAAATTAGTGTTTTAAGACAATTCTAAGTTATGCTTAAACACTGTTTAAATTTTCCAGAGAGTAAAACGTTTTGAGCCCCCCCCCCCCCTTTCCCTGCAGTAGCAATGCACAAGTCACTTTTGTAGGGAAACCACGATTGAAAAAATTTCGGTTTCAAAATTATAAACATTGATATCAAATTCATACATGATCAAAAAAAAACTTTAAAAGATATCGTTATAAATCGGGCATAGCCATCTCTGCATGGAGGTCACGCCCCTTTAAAACTAATTGTAAAACATTCATACCTGAATCTGAGCCGTAGGAGAGGTTTCTTCTGTGTCCTTTCTTAGTTCCAAAATTGAACCCCCGAGTTATCTGAAACAAATTAAAATTTGAACATAAGTTTGACAGTATTTAGATTATTCTTCCAACCAAATCTAAAATAATATTATACAATAATTAAAATAATAAAAGTGATAAAAGTAATTAAAGTAATAATAATCATTTAAAACTACTTTATAGTGAAGTTAAGGGATTTTACTTTCCTTCCTAATCGAGGGAACCCGCGGTTAAGTCAAATTTTTAATTTCCCAAAAAAGTAGTTGTCCACAATTTTAGCATCTTTTGAGATGAAAATGCGCGATGTTATTTTACATAACTATCCCAAGGGACGTTAAGTAACTTAACCTCCCTCTGTTGGGTAAATCATATGTCGGTAATGTTGGTCAAAGGCGGTAAAAGTATCAAAGTTATCATAAAAGTAATAAAAGTAATAAAAGTAATAAAAGTAATAAAAGTAATAAAAGTAACAACAACAACGACAATGACAACAATGACAACAACTACAACAATGACAACAACGACCAAAATGACCAAAATGACGACAACAACGCCCACAATGACAACAACGACCACAATGACAACGACAACAATGACAACAACAACAACAAGGACAATGACAACAATGACAACAATAACAACAATGACAACAACAACAACAACAGCAACAACAGTAACAATAGCAAGCAACAACATTAGCAAGCAGTAGTAGCAAGCAGTAGCAGCAGCAACAGCAGCAACAACAACAATAATACTAAACTATAATAATAAATAATAATAAATTACCATTCTCGAGCACAGCTTACAAGTATATTCTCCGGATATCCGCTGTATATCCGGTAATCTACCAGTATATACACCTAATAAAAAGTATACATTTAATATATACACTAGCTTATTTTACACATATCAACTGTATTATGTATATCCGCTAATCTACCAGTATACACACCAAATAACAAATATATATACAATATATATTCACTGATAGCGAATGAGACAAATACACAGGATGGCAGACGTCCCATCCCCCCCCCCTTTATGTATTCCTACTCGAAATAAAAACTGGAAAATGTGTAGAGCAGTTGACTCAAGCAAAATATGAAAGCAATAAAAGGGGAGATGGTAGTGACCTTGCTCCTCTCAAACCCCCCCCCCCTAGTGCCTTCAAGAATTCAGAATAGTCAGGGTTCGGAAAAATAGTTCTTTCTCTTGCAATTTGGCTAGCTGCAGGGACATCCAAAAAATTAATTTCTTTTATTTTCAAAATTAGCCGAAGTATGATTGAGGATGGACGAGGTATGGATGATCAAGAAGAAAGAATGAAAAACAATAAATATAGAAGTCTCAAAATGTTTCCATCTGATATCATATATAAAATCTAATTAAACTAAATTATTAAACTTAAAAAATACAATATATAAACAATATCTATACAAGTATATTATACATACATCCGCTGTATATCTGGTAATCTACCAGCATATACACCTAATAACAATTATAAATACAATATATACACAAGTATATTCTTCATGTTTCTGATGTATTTCTGGTAATCTGGCAGTAAATACACCTAATAACAAATATATATATATCATATAATATATATACAAGTATATTCTACATATGTTTGTAGCTAGGGTAAACACCTAGTAATTAAAAAAGCTTTTTTTTCTTTTTGAGGGGGGGGGGGTAGAGACAAAATAATTTAAAAGATTAAAAATGGGAGGAAATTTATAAATTGCAGGGGTTAGTAGGGTAGTATTTGCAACTTTTAAATAGAATATTCATAAAAATGATAATTAGGCATATTTATACGATCAACTAAAGAACATACAAACTAAATAAAATATGATTAACATTTTTATTTCTAATTTTTTTAATGATGAAAACTTACTGAAAAGAAAAGCAATAACTGGCATTTTGTTCATGGAGTTGAAGGATTTTATCTGCATTGGTGGAATCCTCTTTACAGTTATACCAGGACCTCGCTCCATCTATATTCAGATTAGTTAGAGAGGTTAACACTTTATACCAGGACCTCGCTCCATCTAGTATTCAGATTAGTTAGAGAGGTTAACACTTTATACCAGGACCTCACTCCAACTAATATTCAGATTAGTTAGAGAGGTTAACACTTTATACCAGGACCTCGCTCCATCTAGTATTCAGATTAGTTAGAGAGGTGAATACTTTATACTAGGACCTCGCTCCATCTATATTCAGATTAGTTAGAGAGGTTAACACTTTATACCAGGACCTCACTCCATCTAATATTCAGATTAGTTGAACCCGTATTTTATATGTTTAGTATTAGAACAGACTACTGTGTATTTCAAGGAGTATGGAAATATACTTTTGTTGCCATTTTTTACATCTTTCATTTTTCGGGATTGATTTGAACTCTTGTAATTTGCTAAACTGTCTGATGTAGAAACGCCTCGTACATGTATTTAGACTATGTCATTAAATACACTATAAAAAAGAGAAAAAACGCAAAACCAAAAAAATCGATTTTCATTATTTAACGTAACTTAGTAAAAGATCAGTGACAAAACATGTATTTAATCATGATATCAGGCGGAACAGGTCAATTCCCGCTCCATGGTATTCAATACTTCTTTGTGTTTTCTAATTTATTTACTAGGTCTTTAAAAATATGAAAAAGGATTTAAATAAATCCCCTAAGCTGGAGTTGGTATAGAAGATCTCACCTCTGACAATGAGCTCTGTCTTGACTCAAGGATTTGGTTGGATTCATGATAAATAGAATTCTGGTTTAAACTCGGGATCCTAAATAAGTAAGTACGTGTAAGTAAGTAAGTAGGTAGGTAAATAAGTTGGTAAGTTAGTAAGTTGGTAAGTAAGTAAGTAAGTAAGTAAGTAAGTAAGTAAGTAAGTAAGTAAGTAAGTAAGTAAGTAAGTAAGTAAGTAAGTAAGTAAGTAAGTAAGTAAGTGAGTAAGTAAGTAAGTAAGTAAATATCATTGGGAAAATGTTATAAAACATGTAAATTTTTAAAGTAAATTTCCAAACATTACAGTAATGGAGGGTGAGACAAGGGGGACTGTAAGGGGATCATGAGCATGGGGAGTAGGGAGAGGATAGGGGAAGGATGTAGATTGTAAGAAGGGGGGGGGGAGGTTCTGATAATTTCTGATGTCTAATAAACCGACCTGAATGAACTGGTATCAGCAGACTCAATATTATGAATCCCTATCAGCCAGGTTTCAATACATCCAAACTCATCCTTTTCTCCTTATATAGATAGATAGATGTAAGTTTATCATTAAAGTACATAATTTTACATAGATATAATCTTTAAACTAACACTATAATGACGGGATTTGACACGCCAACATTGGCCGTCTTTAATGGCAAACCCGGATGTTATTGTATGATATAATTTTTAAATCATACAATTGGAGGTGTTTCGTCCAATAGGTAGGGGAAAGTATTATTAAATATTGTATTGGTGTGGATCACCGTTTTGTATGTGTTTTAAAACAAACAATGTTTTTTGTGCTTTTCAGAGATTATAAACAATCTAAAAACTTCGACAAATGACAAAAATCTGTGTCAAGCCAATAGGCAAAGGATGTTTTATTTTTTTTTCTTGTTAATATAAGGCTCAATATGATATTAAGGGTTTCAACAAAAGCTTAGGGGGTCGGGTCGGGATTGTATATTGTTTACCGTAGTTTAGAAGATAGATAAAGGCAAGATGAGGAAGAAATTGAAGAGCAAAACTCTTGTACTCTGGATCTCGTCTGCAAAGATGAAACAAGACCATTTTACAACAAAATGTGGTGGTAATAAATTCTATGAAAGTATCTTTTATTGATAAGTAAAAATAAACTTTAAAAGATGGTGACGCGATACAAAGGTTTCTTTTAAGTTAGTTTTTAACGAGCCCTCCCCCCCTCTTTTAAATAGTTTGTTGCGCAAAAAAAGCCTAGAAATTAGCTAAAAAATGGTCAAGATTAGTGCCTGTAGATGCTAAATAGAAGATCACACAGCTGTCCTAGTACATCAGACCCTTTCCCACGCTCCTGAACAGTACAAATAAACAGTACAGGTGTACTTGGATATCATAAGGGTTTTTAGTGTACATTGCTCATTGGACACATTTCTTACAAACTTGTCTTAGAACTGAGATAAGAGAATTATAGAGATCTATTAAAGGCGATATTTTCCACAGCAAGGTCATTTAGGTCATTAGAAGGTCAAACACTTGATTCGTTGTTGCTACTGTATTCCTGGGGTTCCTAGCTTTCGTTTGATATGCATAAAGCCATAGTTAAAACATTTTCATTTTTGGAGGTCATTTTAGATTATTAGAGGTCATAGATGGTCAAACACTGGACTCGTTGCTGCTACTGTATTCCTGTGGTTCCTAGCTTTTGTTTGCATTAAGCCATAGTTAAAACATTTTCATTTTTGGAGGTCATTTAGGACATTAGAGGTTGTTAGAGGTTTTAGAAGGTCAAACACTGGTTTCGTTGATGCTACTGTATTCCTGGGGTTCCTAGCTTTTAATTGACATGCATAAAGCCATAGTTAAAACATTTTAATTTTTGGAGGTCATTTAGGTCATTAGAGGTCGTAAGAGGTCATTAGAAGGTCAAACACTGGATTTGTTGCTGCTACTGTATTCCTGGGGTTCCTAGCTTTCGATTGATATGCATAAAGCCATAGTTAAAACATTTTCTATTTGTGGAGGTCATTAGAGGTCATTAAATTCAATTTGATTTTATTTTAGGAATTTCGATCACTAATTAGGCGTGCATCCAAAAAATTGGAAGATTTGAACCAAAAATGAAGGCAGGCCCCCCCCCCTACATCAAATGTGCCACCTCCACCATCCCCTTTACTGAACAGTTGCCTCTAACTTTAATTTGCTAATCTCTTTATCAATGCAATCTGACGGTGTAAATCCTTAATATTCCGGACTTTGACTATTTGATCTGACAGAATTCATAGTTTGGAATATTAAAAGTTAACGAATATCAGGTTGCAAAAATACAAGAATTAGAAAATTAAGAGTTTGGGTTGAGTGATCAGTTCCTTTCCTACAAATTGTTATATAAGTTAATACCTCGAACCCCTGAAGTGAGTTAAAGACAACTTGTGCAAAGTTTGGATTGTTGACTAGAGTTGAAACAAAACTGTTGTGTTCAGACTCAGCAATAGTTTTATACTCCGTTAAAATCTCCACCAGCTCGTCTTCCACCATTTTGTGATTTGAATTCTGAAATATTATTTAAGATGAGGAAAATTATATTTTATCTTTTTAGACAATGAATACTCTATAGTGTACATTGTTCAGATAACACTTAAAAATGTACTGTGTGGTGTACACAATAAACTGTACAGTGTACAGTATTTCAAAATGGCGGCAGGTTTTGACCATGTTTTGACACTGTATTTTCTTATTACCACGGCAGTGGGTTTCCAATATTGTCATAGAAGTTTCCATTGTGTTCTTCAGGTTTAAATTCGTCTAGGAATGAAAGCACACCTTAAAAAAACATATCAGTATATCAATATTTTCTTTCGAGAATTGTATATTGCCTAGCTAAATAAGATAAGAGGTAATTACTGATTAATGATTTTATAGAAAGTTGAGAAGCCTATGTGTCTTTTGATCTATGGCTTAAAGAGTCTGTTTGTCTGTATGTCTGGCAGCCTGCCTGTCTGCTTGTCTAATGTCTATCTATCTATATGTCTGATATACCTTGAATAGATTGAGCTGCTGTGAGAGGGGCATTGTTTCCTCCCATATCTGTTTTAACCCAGCCTGGGTGTATACTTACAGCTGATATATTCTGCAAATAATATTTCTTTGTATTTTACGTCTTAGTATTTTATGTTTAAGAGTTTTTAGTTTCTTTTTTATTTAAAACTAAGTTTTCTTTTATTTATTTGTTTTAGATCACTCAGTTTTAGTATTCGTTTCTAGTTAAACAGTGAACACTCAGTGTCTTTGTATTTCATTGTTAAAGAAAAAATTTCTTTGTTGTTAAATCTTAGTTTTCTTTAATATTCTTTGTTTTATAACACACAGTTGTCTTTATATTCCTTTGTAATTGAACACTCAGTGTCTTAGAATTTCTTTATTGTAGAATACTTGTTGTATTCCTTGTGTGTTTAACACTTAATTTTCTTTGTATTCTTTTGTAGTAGAAAACACAGTTGTCTTTGTATTCCTTTGTAATTGAAGACACTCAGTGTCTTCGTATTTCTTAGTTATATGGACACACACATTATAATTCCATCCAATAAGATCCCAAATGTTGATTAATTGATATTAGGACTAGAGTTTAACCATGTTGTTATTGTAAACAATTAAAAGTATTATGCCAAGTTGTAGAAAAAAATTCATACTGCAGAATGTATAAGGCAAGAGAGTGTTATTTTTCTGTATATCATAATCTATTCCCATATTTATTACTGATATATACTTATTTTAACACCCCTAATGCAGTACACATTTCCGAAATGTAGTACATACAGTGTATTTTCATGCCCCTAAATGTACTTTCAACCCCGATCCCATTTGGGATCAGAAATGGAATTATGTGGACCCCTGTCATAAATATGAATGTTTACTGTAAAACTTCAAGATATTCTTCAAATTAATAATGATAATATTAATAATAATAATACCTGATGTTTAAGATCTATACTAAGAGATCTAGTAAGTGCATTTAATCCAGCTTTAGAACATCTATATGGATACAGACCGCCCTAATATTTTTTATACTTTAGCTTTTGTGTAATATATATATATATAATTAATTTATTATTCAATCACAAAAAAAAGATTTACATCCTCATATATACATATATAAAGTAGTAATCTCTGCCTGGGTGTTTGTATGTCCGATCATAACTTAGAACCCCTTGACCGATTTCCTAGTCTAAGCATATAAAGTAGTAAAAGTTATCTGTTTGTATTTGGGATAAAAACTTAAGAACCCCTTGACCGATCTGCATCAAATTTTGATTGTGTAGCTCGACAAAACAATGGAATTTATTTAGCTTGAGTACTTAAGCTGACTTGTGTTTTGAGAAGAAAGAACTTTTCTGTATTTTACCAGGAAGTACGCTAAAATATTCCAGAGCTGAAAACTTCTTAATGGTGGATATCAAGATCAATGCTTGATCCTCTATTTTTGCTAATCTGAAGACTAATTTAGTTTTCAGACTAATTTCTAGAGATTAGAAATGCGCTCTTAAACTTTTGAAAACCCGGTGTGGCGTTATTTCTGGGTAAACGTTAAATAATGGTAGTAGACTCTACGCAGCAAATTTTCCGCGGCATTCACGCACAATTCTGTGAAGTGTGAATGTAAACAGTAAATTAAGTGAAAGTATTTCTCATATTTGAGAATCAATCAAGTTTTGCTGTGCGACAGACAGTAAATATCAATTGTTTTAACATTAGGGATCGATATTACAGCTTAGTTTACGTAAGCTAATTGTTAAGATTCTGATACTTGCAACTGATGAGAGTTTAACGGATAGTTAATTACTTCTGTTCTCTCATTATATATCAGCATATAGTGTATATTTTAAGTGTATAAATATAATTTCTAATTTTGAAATTTCAGATAAAATACCAGATTTCTGCTGTGCGCATTGCCGTAAACTGCAAAAATATGCGCGGATGCCGCGGAAAATTTGCTGCGTAGAATCTACTACCATTATTTAACGTTAACCCAGAAATAACGCCACACCGGTTTTTAATTTTCCCGCATTTGTAGAGTCATATCAATTGGACTAATGATCGACTGAACTAACTGAACTGGAGTAATGTTTATTAATACTAATGTTCCAAAGGACTGGAGTAATGTTTATTAATACTAATGTTCCAAAGGACTAAAGTGCTTAAATGTGATAAAATAAGTTCATAATAACATGAACTTTATATTTGTTTATATGCCTCTAAAAGCGGCTTGTGACTTTAGTTCAATCGGATAATTAGTCCAATCGATATAGCATCGTATCTATATTTGTAATTGGACGTATCTTTATTACATGTAGTAGGAAGTGTGATATCCAACAAAAGTGGATTAAAAATAGAATTAAAATTTTCCACTGTGGATATTCAGATTAAGCAATCATGATTAAGGATATCCAATTCTAAAGTTTACAGCTCAGATCTATTAGATCTTAATTCTAAATATACAAAAATGAACCTGTTTTGTATTTTCTGCTATAGATCCTAGTATACTGGATATATTAACTACCAGAGAACCAGGTCCCTCCACTGAAAATATACTATGGGGTCTGTCCTAGTGAACGATTTTTGGACCCCCCCCCCTCCTATCAATTTTTTACATGACCATTTATTTTCCAGCAAATTTATTGATAATTCTACAGTGGTCAGCATATATATCAATACAGTGATGGATACCGAAATATATAATGGATAATTCTACAGTGGTCAGCATATATATCAATAGTCTTGGATACCGAAATATATAATGGATATTTCTACAGTGGTCAGCATATATATCAATACAGTGATGGATACCGGAATATATAATGGATATTTCTACAGTGGTCAGCATATATATCAATACAGTTATGGATACCGGAATATATAATGGATATTTCTGCAGTGATCAGCAAATATATCAATATAGTAACGGATACCGAAATATACAATGGAAATGCGCACTTTTAGTATTATTGAAAACTCCCACTTGCTAATAATGATAGAAATAATAAAATTGAAAATAATGATGAATAATATTAATGATGCTGATCTAACCTGGTTTAGCGAGAATATTTATTAAAGCTTTAGTAATAAAAAGAGGTGCAATCAGGTTTGTATGAAGGGTACGTTCCATTTGCTCCGGACTAACTAGAGAACATAAATATAGATTTTCGACAGAAAAATAACATCTTAAATATAGATAATAATTGATAAATAAAGTCTTAAATATAGATAAAGAAATAATCAGTATAACTAATTTACATTAATCTTTTATCTAGATATATTGTCAATATTATATTTTTAAATGGAGTGTTTGAGGCTAAATCTTTTTAAAAAATTTGAATTCGATTGCTGCTAAGAAATTGTGAAATTCCGATGCGAGAGACGCCTAGCGGCCAAATAATCGTCCTTTAAGTTCACGTGGAATAATGTAAAGAAGTAAATTAAAATGGGATCTACGCTCTTTGGTATTAAAGTTTGACATGATTTGTACAACTATTTAGTCGCGAGACAATTACCTAAGTTTATTCTGGTTGCTTTAGGTGATATTCCGGCATTATTAATGAGAATATCTAGTCTATCTGTTAAACAGCTGACAGTTCTACTGAACTCTGTTAAATTATCTGAATATATAAAATATAATTATTAATGAGAATATCTAGTCTATCTGTTAAACAGCTGACAGTTCTACTGAATTCTGTTAAATTATCTGAATATATAAAATATAATTATTAATGAGAATATCTAGTCTATCTGTTAAACTGCTGACAGTTCTACTGAACTCTGTTAAATTATCTGAATATATAAAATATAATTATTAATAAGAATATCTAGTGTATCTGTTAAACTGCTGACAGTTCTACTGAACTCTGTTAAATCATCTAAATATATAAAATATAATTATTAATAAGAATATCTAGTGTATCTGTTAAACTGACAGTTCTACTGAACTCTGTTAAATTATCTAAATATATAAAATATAATTATTAATGAGAATATCTAGTCTATCTGTTAAACTGCTGACAGTTCTACTGAACTCTGTTAACCCTATCCCTGCTGGGGTACTTGAAAACCAGGATACACTCCCTCTAAATCTCATGTTTGATATCCAAATATAACAAATGTTAAACTGCTAAACTACATTTTTTAAGTGAGATCATGGATATCTCATTCATTCTTGATCAGGCAAAGCGTTTAAGGCCGTTTATCGGACATGATTTTAAAATATGTTTACAGTCCCTTTAACGGTTAATCTAGGGATTTGTCCCCAATCATATGTTAAAAAGGAAAGAAAATGTAACGTTCTTAATCAGGTTACATCTAAGCAAGTGTTACGAGATGACCAACTTTTATTAAATATTTTAATGAAGTTGGAGCCGACGATCTGATATAGCTTTATAGACACAAGATATCAAAATTGAGCTCTAAAAATTTTAAGCTTTATGACTGATCTCAAAGTTTTCCAATAAATTCGTTTGAATCTTTAGCGATAAGTGTTTTATGGAATTCGGGAATTGAAAATATTTCAACAGAATGATTATTAAAAATATAAAGAAAAAATTATAACAAATAAAAAAATACAAGACTAAATAAAGAAAAATCTCCACAAATGGAACACCCTTGTATACCTGAATCAATAAATAAGAACACTATAGAAAATGTATGAAAAATCTCCACAAATGGAACACCCTTGTATACCTGAATCAATAAATAAGAACACTATAGAAAATGTATGAAAAATATCCACAAATGGAACACCCTTGTATACCTGAATCAATAAATAAGAACACTATAGAAAATGTATGAAAAATTTCCACAAATGGAACACCCTTGTATACCTGAATCAATAAATAAGAACACTATAGAAAATGTATGAAAAATATCCACAAATGGAACACCCTTGTATACCTGAATCAATAAATAAGAAAACTATAGAAAATGTATGAAAAATTGAGAACAAATTCTCTTCATGACAATATTTAGGTTTTTTAACGTATTTTTAAAGGAAGGGGGGGGGGTACAGGTAAAGATGGGCAGGTAGTTAAGCTGAGAGTGCAGTATTTTAGAATAACACATCAGTGCTGAAAACTTTAGAATGAGATATCCTTAATCCCAATTACTTAATCTGAGTATCCAATGGACAAACTTTTGATTTTCTTCTTAAACCGTTCTTTCTTGGATAAAGTAGAGAAAAATCAAAAACCGGTTTTTAAAATTAGGGAGTCTCTCCCGTTCCTATGTATAATCTTAAATGGGCATGGGGTCTACCTTGGCGGAGGTGGGGGATAGATAAAACTCCTAAGAATGCGCGAATACCGGATAATATTTCTTTAATTCTCTCTCTCTATGACAGCTTGTTTCTATAGATAGT